TGAAAGCTATTTAGTTCTACACCTTAAGTTTTAGCTACTACATCTTACTATTTAGCTACTGTGTCTTAATCAGGAATCACCTGGCAGTGACTCCAGGTTATCTAAAACTGGTTAAGACCACCAATGGCAGCCGGGCAGTGGTGGCATACACCTTTAATCCCAGCACTTGGGAGGCAGAGGCAGGCAGAATTCTGAGTTTGAGGCCAGCCTGGTCTACAGAGTGAGTTCCAGGACAGCCTGGGCTACACAGAGAAACCCTGTCTTGAAAAACAAAAAACAAAACAACATAAAAAGACTACCAATGGCAGCTGAAATGTAGGCTCTTCTGCCCACAAGGCTCCCTAAGGTGGGAGCTCTTCATAAAGAAGATCTAGGCTGGCCACAAACGTCTGTGATCCTAAGTAGAAGGATAGTCAGAACTGACCGAAGTGTGCCTGAGTAACGAGTGTATACATTCAAAAGCAACCCTCTTAGCACATTGTGACAAGCGATCACTGTGCTCTGACCCTCCCTTTCCTATTCATATAAAACGTACCAGGATTGATCTCTGTGACCTACAGTGAGTTGGGTTTGGGGTGGATGTTTCAAACTGTTAAGAAGCGTTTGCTGCCGGGCAGTGGTGGCGCACGCCTTTAATCCCAGCACTTGGGAGGCAGAGACAGGCGGATTTATGAGTTCGAGGCCAGCCTGGTCTACAGAGTGAGTTCCAGAACAGCCAGAACTACACAGAGAAACCCTGTCTCAAAAAACCAAAAAAAAAACCAAAAAAAAAAGAAGCGTTTGCTGTCCCCAGCACACTTGGTATCATCCCGTCCTTCCTGTCTCCTCTCTACTGCCAGTGTCCCCACCTGCCTACTACTGAGCCCTCATGGTCTGGCCGATGGTTGATGATGGCACTTACCCTGATCCTCTGTGATTATGCTGCCTTCCTTTGCAACTGAAGCTTGTACTTCATCTCGCTGCCTCTCTGCTACCTCTCACTCAGGCTTGGAGACCACGTTATGGCCCCACCCCTTTCTTCCTGTGCATCACGCTCATGGGCTTCTGCCTGCTCCTTGTGCTTAGCTTTGGTTAGTCTTTGTGTCTCCCATAGAGAGCCCGGCTCCGCAGACCTAACCTGGAACTTGGACTAGACATGTGTCTTCTGTTATAACTGAAGGATTATCCCATCCCTCAGAACTCAGCCTGTACTTAGGATAGTCCTCCTTGTTGTATATCTTTTTAATATGTGGTATGTTGTCTATATTTTCTCCTTTTATAGACCTCTATATAGCGTCTGTATCCTCTCCTTTTATAATCGTTTAGTTCTCAAAATTTACTTTTGTATCTGACCCTCAAGATGTCTAGGACTTTGGTTCTAGGCCTCACCCTTCACCCCACCCACGTGGACACTGAAGTTCAGAGAGCGGCTTCATACGGAACATCATGGTCACGTCTACCACATGTGTGAGATCATCTCTGAATCACTTGCGATGTGCAGTACCCCGTAAGTGGTTGTACTGTATTGTTTACGGAATCCTGATGAGAAGAGTACACACAGCTTCAGTACAGACTCAGGTTTACTCTCAAGTGTTTTCAACCCAGTGTTCCCGCTTTGCAGTGGGTATGATTTTTGTCATCAGTGAAACCTCTGTTTCTTCTCCAAAGTGTAATGAGCTTCACTGCGAGACGGTCACTTACTCCAAGGGATACTCTGTGCCTTTTTTTCCCTGTCTACCCTAAAGGTTCATGGTGTCAGCACTAGCAAGGCCAAATGTCTGATGGAGACGTGCTGTAGAACACAGGGCTTACCAGGTCTCTCTCTCCAGAAACATCCCTTCCTGCTGGACACCAAAATAAAGTTTTAAACAAAAGCAAAACCACAAGGGGCTAGAGAGGTAGCTTGGTGGTTAAGAACACTTGTTACTCTTGCAGAGGACACTGGTTCAATTCCCAGCACCCACACTGTGGCTTACAACCATTTCTAAACTTCAGTTCCAGGGCATCTGACACCCTCTTCTGGCCTCTGTAGGTACTGCATGCATGTGACGCACAAACTAAAGCAGGCAAAACACTGATGCACATAAAATAAATCTTGTTGTTGTTGTTGTTTGTTTTGTTTTTTGAGACAGGGTTTCTCTGTGTAGCCCTGGCTGTCCTGGAACTCACTCTGTAGACCAGGCTGGCCTCAAACTCAGAAATCCACCTGCCTCTGCCTCCCAAGTGCTGGGATTAAAGGCATGTGCCACCACCACCCGGCCACATAAAATAAATCTTAAACAAATAAAAAGCAAACAACCAGAATGGGGTACCTGGAAAGGAGACGAGCACAGGGTGCCTTCCAGTGTCTTAGTTCCCTTGTTTCTGAGAGAAGCTCCGTTCCACTCCCTCGCCCTTCATTTACTTCTTTAACACAGCTCTGAGCACCTTCGTCCTCCATTGCCCCAGCTCCTCTGAAGCACCTTTGTCCATGACTGTCAGTTCTCATGTATACCATTTCCCGACTGGAGGCCCAGGAGTTGGTGCCTTGGTCCTGAAGCTGTCTGTCCTCGCTCTTGGCATTGCTTCTGGGGTTGTGCGTGGGCTGCCTTCACTTCCGTCATCTTCACCATGGCCACCACTATCGCTGCTACTAGAACCCCACAGTGCTCCCCTTCTTTCTCCTGCGGGTTTATTGTCCCTTCACGACAAAGTGTTGTGACCACTTCACTGTGACATCGTCAGGACAGGATCTTTATGCTTTTTTCTTGCCCCATGATGAGTGACAGGAGAAGTCTCAATTTCGATTTGAGAAAATCTGCCCTGGCTTCTAGAATTCTGAGGGCCTTGGACAGGGAACTGGGGAGGTACCAGTTTAGGTGCTGTCTCCCAGAGATACTCATTTTAATGTTGGTACATCACTGTCTTCAGAATGCTTGTCACTAAACCTGGAACCCTGGTGAATCACTTTTGAGGGGTCTCTAGGAGAGGTTTCTTCCCAGGGATGGCACCTGTTGATGCTGGGGTCAAGGGTTCCCTGGGCTGGCTTCTCTCCCAAAGGTTTCCCCGTGACTCTTGGGATGTTACATAGTTCCGGCAGGCCGCCTGAGCACGCCACATGAGCAGGGCCGTGTAGTGTTCACCACCCATGGCTTCAGCTTCTGCTTCCTGTTCTGTACTTCATTCACCCGCTCCCACAGTGCCTGGTTGTCAGTATGGGAGCAAATAGGCTGTGCCCTTTAATCGCCACGCCATGCTAATGTGGCTCTGAGGGTGAGGCTGGGGTAAAGACAAGACAAGCTAATTCTGCAATAGTTAATAGAGGATCTCCTGCTTCCTCTATTGAGCCCATGTATATAGTACTGGAGATCAAGCCCGGGGTTTTGTGGATACTAGGCAAACAATCTAGCACTGCCTTATGGCCTTCGGCGTTGGAGTTTTGAATGAAAGTTTCACTATGTATTGTAGGCTTGCCTTGAATTTCTGATCCTCCTGCACTGCCTAGTGCTGGAATGACAGGTGGAAAAAGCCATCCCTGACTCTTATTTTGTTTAATGTGTACGTGTGTATGTGCTTGCTCACGCATGCATGTTCATGGTATGTGCAAGTACACATGTATGTGCGTGTGGAAGTCAGAGATTAATATTAGATATGTCCCTCAATTGCTTTCCATTCTACTTTTTTGAGAGAGAATCTTATTCGAAACTTACCAATCTGGCTAGGCTAGCTGACCAGCAACTCCCAGGAATCCCCCTGCCTCTGCTTTCCCAGCTCTGGGATTATAAGCATATGCCACAGCATTTTGCTTTATATGCAAGTGCTTGGGGCTGAACTCATTCATGATGTCTTCGTGTTTGTAAGCAGGCCCTTTACCAATGAGGCATCACCTTAAGTTTAACTTTTCAAATATTATCTTATAATACTATACTGTATACACAATAAATATACTATATGCACATTCATATACTATATACACATTCATATACTTCATATACTATATACACATTCATATACTATATACACATTCAGGTGACCTTGATCTCCTACACACTGACTTCCAGGTCCAGCACCACACCCTGGCACTCAGTGCCACATCTGTGCAACAGCTTCCCCAGCTCTAGGACCCACGATGAAGGGTGGGGTGGGTTCCTTTCAACCTTGGCTGGCACAGGACCCCTTCCCACCAGTATGTTCTCCTTTGCCTTGGAACTTTATGCTGGGGGCGAGTTGCCCACACCTGCAGGAGACAGCCCCCCTCAGCTGCTCAGCTGGACCGCTCTGGCAAGGACAGACTAGGTTGTGATTACTGTTAGCGCACTGATCTCACAGGTCCAAGCATAAAATCCTGTTATACGAAAGCCTGTTAAATGTCCCTACTAATCATGTGTGCATGCTATAGATATGTACCTGTAGAATAGAGTAACAGACAGCAAGGAAGATAGTGACGAAGGGATGCTTGTGACTAGAAATCAAACGTCTGGTGTTGGCGCCGAATCTGCATTCCCAAAGTGAAAAGCCAGAGGCACAGGCCGAGTCTGTAGTGGGGCTGGAGAGGAGAAGGCAGTGTGGACAGGGGCCCCAGCAGCAGCCCTGCAAGGTGAAGTGGAAGAGCCTGGTGATCTTACATGTGTGGACTGTGAACATAGAAAGCCAGCAGTGCACTTAGTGTGTACCTAGTCACTGCCATTGTAAACTTAGTGCCTGTGCAGATACATATGCTAAAACTTATAAGCAAAAGACATGTCTGCTAAATATTATAAGCAGATCAGTGTATGATTCCTCATAGCATCTCCTCTGGGACGCCTGTGGTGTAACGGACGCCTTCTTTGTGTTCCTTTGCCTCCGTTGTGCTGTTCTGACATCATCCCGAGGTCATCCCTGTTGGTACACATCTTCCCCACATAGACCTTAGACCTGGCCATTTCAGAGACATTGGAATGTCTGAATGGCTCTGCTGTATGGGAAAAGAAAGGCTGCCGGTCCTAAGGTCAAGGCCCTGGAGTTCAGAGCTCAGTACTCACCTGTGTGTGTTTCTCTTTCAGGTAGGTGAGCTCCAGCCAAGCCAGCCCTGCCAGAGACCTCCAGTTGCAGTGGATGGTGCTCTGAGCCACAGTGTGCTTCACCCTTTGGATCTATGGACCTGCTTTGAACCATAGAGCCTGCCTATGGGGGAAGGTGAGTTGCCCCGAAGCCCTTCTGTTTGTTCGTTCGTTTGTTCATCAGGCATGGCGGTACAAGGCCAGGCTCAGCTTTAAGGAACACACACGCTGGCTATGCTACTGTTCTTTGTTCTGTCCTGTTCTATTCTGTTGGGCCCTGAGGTTCTGTATATACTTTGGACTCTTTCCCAGGGCTGTGAGCAAATTATGCATGTACATGCTCAGGCCCAGTCCACCCTAGAGGCTACCCACACAGGCTAGACCCCTTTCCTGTAGTTGGCTTGAGCAACCTGAGGCAAGCACAGGTTTAGGGTCTGGAGAATGGATGGTCGCCATGGGGTTTTATTCTGCTTGCTGATAAGATGGTAGAATTATTCATTTTCGATGAAGGCTCATTGTCATTCATAATGCTTCCTGATGACGTGGATAATAGGAAGGTCAGGTGCTTTCTGGTTGGGCACATGGCAGTGAATAAAGACTTCTGCCCTTCGTTGCAACTGTGGATAAATACCATGAGTTTTAGAAAGCAAAAGACAGTGGGAGAGGTAAGGCCACAAGGTTACTCTCTCTTCTTTCAGTGCCTCCTATAGGCTCGTGGTAGTACCTGAAGCCCCATGAGAGCATCCAGAAATTGTTAAAAAGGGCCCATGCAGCAGTGTAGACACTGGGGGCAGATATGCACCTGGGCCCTGTATCCCTGTATGCAGGTAGTAGTGGAGTCACAGAGCAACTGACTGGAGGGTTAGTTCTTGGGGAATCACTCTGGTTGAGTGGGAGAAATGTTTTGGGAAGCAATCTCTAAGCCACCCCCTCTGTTCCTCTGGCCAGGCCAATACCCCAATTTGGGACCTTACCAGGAATACTCAGGGAATTTCATGGACTAGTTCTTGCTGGCTAAGCCAGGCAGTAGAGTTGTGAGTTGTTGGTCAAGGTGGGAGAGGATTTGCAGAGACAGGGTCCCGGGTGTGGGTGTGCATCAAGAGAGAGCAAACACAGCTCCTCCTCTGCCAGGTGGCTTTTTCTGAAGAACCTATTTTGATTCATCCCAGAAAGAGAGGGCAATGACAGACCAAAAGGACGAGTCTATCCAACTGTGTCTCCATGAACTAATGACTTCCTGGAATTACTTACAGGAGCACAGGCAAGAGTTACTTACAGGAGCATGGGAAGATTATAGGCAGGCAGCTAGCTATACACCATTGAAGACTTTCTCCCTATACCTCTGGCCCCACCCCACACAGTTATTGGTGTAGAATACTTATATACGCTTGGGGAGGAGAGAGACGTGGTGGGCCTTAGGAACCAGGTGAGCTCTCCACCCCATCCAGGAGGCGATGTTAAAGAGGCTGACTTTGTAATTCTTGTAAACGTCCCATAGAGGTAACCATAGAACTCTGATTTCAAGATGTTAAGGGCCCTGGTATACCTGGAGGTCAGAGTTCTTCCAACACTGTCTCTGCTGGGTCAGTGTCCATGGTTGGCTAGGTTCCCGCTGTTGTCTGTCTTAATTTTCAGGTAAGATGAAGGACCTGGTTTTTCCAGCCGTCTCCCTGTACTGCCCAGAACATCCCTCTAGGACTTGTGGAACCCCATGTGAAGGTCCATGGTCTTTCCCAGGCACACATTCCCTGACTGAGTAGCCATTCAGGGAGTACCAGCGAGTCTGAGTGCTGGCATTGCAGGTGTGCTTACCTGACATAATTTATGTAGTTTTGACCCAGAAATTAAATGCTATAAATATACATGCCAGGGAGATCACAAAACAAAGGGAAAGAGGGACCCTTTCCCAGGACTAGGTAAGTCATGACTCACATAAATCTACCACTTACGGTTCTAGGGTCTGGGAGCTCAAGAGCAAGGTGTCAGGAAGTCTGATCATGTCTGGTAGGGATGCACCTGCTTCCAGTGTGGGTCTTCCTTAACCTCTGCCTCCTCTGGAGAGGCAAATACTGTGTTTTCGTGTGACAGGAAGACCATTTGGCAAAGAGGGCGGAACTACTCTTCCTGACCCTCTTGTGAGACACTAGTTGGGTTATATAGGTTATGATTAAGCGACAACTTAATCCCCTTTCATAGATCCCAGTATTGCCATAGAGATTGATCTTCCTATCTTCCTTGGTTTTGTCTTTTTAAAGCAGACTCTCACTATATATTTCTGGCTGACCTGGGACTTGATGTAGACCAAGCTAACCTTGAGCTCCCAGAGATCTGTCTCTGCCTCCTCCTGAGTACTGGATTTAAGGTGTGCACCACCACACTTAGCCTGAAGATTGATTTTCAACATACATATTGGAGAGGAAACATCTGCTGCCCCAATAGTAGTATTCCAGCATTGCTCAGTGTGCCAACTCAAACTACCTGGCACATTCAACGATCGTAGATTCATTATAGTCCTACACACTAAAACACAAAATCCAGTAACAGAAATCTTACTTATACGGTGAAATATCAGAAATTTGGTACTATTACTTCAGCCTTAATACGTTAACCTAGGGAAGTAGTTACTGTGTAATACAAGTGCAAAAAGAGGACAGATGTGGGCAGCTTGCTCCTGTTCTGTGTAAAGGTGCAGGGGTGGGGCCTAGGCAGCTCACCTCCCAGCGTTACAGATGCTAGGCTGGTGGTCTTTCTGGGGACCACCAGTTATGGTAGTTCTCTACAGTGGATAGCCACTGGTTGTATTGTTTGCTTGGTGAGGCTGCAGGACTCCTCTTTCTTTTCTGTGCTGTGGTGGGCATTGCAGTTACTGGCAGTTTCTGTGCTCACAGTGACCAGCTCCTTCTACCGTGCAGTCCGCCTTCGATAGAAGTACACCCGTAGCTCCTCCTGGCCTTATTCTTACATACGCTTGCTCGTGGTTTGGTCATTAACTCTTCTGATCTTACATATAAGTTGCTGGGATAAGATTAACAAATCAATATCAAAGTAGCATAGGGTAGCCACTCTCTTGTGCTTGGTAGGAGAACTGCTCCATTTGATGGTGGCCAGTCTGCATGCTACCCCTCCATTTAGGGCTCAGATACTTGAGCCTAGGGGTCCTGACTTGGTCCCAGCATCCTGTCTGAGCATACATATCACAGCCCACATCTGGACCACCTTAAATGACTTAGCATGCTCCTCCACTTCTTCCGTGCATAGGCTTGCTTCTCAGGGCTGACTCTAATTCATTAAAAATAGGGAAGGCAAGAATTTCCAGTCTGTGTCATTTTGGATACCTTATCCTGGAGAGGAAATTTCTATAAACTTGGAAGTGTCTTCAGTCAATCCAGGGCAGCTCCAGAGTCCATGGCTAGGGACCTGCCTCTCTCTGCCCAAGCTGTCCATGGATGGTCAACCCAATGACAGTGTCTGATATGAAAAGCTGTGTCTGGATTAATGCTAGACAACCTCCCCTCCCCATTTCAGGCTGAGCTGCTCTGCATCTGTCCTGCAGGCACACTGGCTTGTTCAGTCCTGTTGGGGGCAGGAGCCATTGAAATGACAGCCACGAGGTCTGGGTGCCCCTCCAAGGGCACAAGGGGAGCTGGGCGAAAAGTAGGTCACATGTGCCTGGGCGATGTCACGCGGTTCCCACCCCAGGCCAATGGGATGGGTGGCCTCTTTCGGTTGAGAACAAAACATCACTCTAATTTTTCTCTGTTAGCATTTCGTCTTCTCTAAACGGGGAGAGTAACCATCTGTCTGGTTCCCACATCCAACTTGATCCTCTTGACCCCACAGGGCTGCTTTGTTCTGAGGTAAGGGGATTCCGTGGGCCTGGGTGAGCGGTCAACAGAGCAGGACAGGTGGCTAAGACTGACTAAGTCCTAGCTCAGGTCTTCAGGTGGTATGGCGGAGCATGCTGAGGTCACATAGGTGATGCGTTGGGAGACGGTACCAAAGGAGCTGCCATCATGGTGCCCAGAGAGCTGCCGCGCAGTGGGAAGAGTGGAGTTGGGTTGTATGTGCCAGCGGCTTTAGACATTCAGATATTGGGTCCTGTGCTTTCATAATGCAGTTTGTTGGAGAGGACCAATGCCATTCTAATGACCTTTACTTCAGAGGTGACATTATTTACAAAAAAATAATAAGTCTACAATCTTACAGATGTTTTGTCCGTCATAAATGCCAGCTGTGGAAAGGAATGTAATCCTTCCCCTTGGCCTCCTGAGCATCCTTAGGGACAAGGACCCGGTGCTCTCTAGCTCAGCTGGCTCCTTCTGTCTTGTCTTTGTTGGAGACTTAAGTCTCGGAAGTTACTCAGAAAGTTATTTGCTTCCACGGGTAAGAGCACTATGAAGTCCAAATATAAGAAGCCCAATATCAAAAGACTGACAATATTATTAATATTATTAATAAATGAAATGTGTACATGTTGGAGTTTGATATTTATATTGAGCAGTTACTAATTATCTTATTGCAGGGCAGGTCATTCAATGTGATCTCCACATGGTTAAGTATGTGTGAGTGTGTACAATAGTTTTTAAATCTTGGCAAAAATTAATATGTATTTTACAGCTTATAAATAACAAAATTTTGCATTTTTGCTTGTCACTGAAGTGCGCTTACGATGTCCTGATGTGTAAGGTTTGGCAAGCAAGTTGCAGCCTATATGTGTTTATAGGATCTGATTATGTCTATCATATTCAGACACAGGGAAATACTTCCAGAAATAGTGTACCAGAATAAGAACTGTAACAATGTAATGTACGTTCTACCAGGAAACATTTTTTTTCCTTTCAGATGAGATTCGTGCTTATTGTAGTTGTCCAGGGAACATGGGTATGTAGCCAGCATTGTAAGGGTACGCACAAGCACTTCGGGTTATACACTATTGTCTGTCTCTATTGTGTGGCATCTTGCTTGTGTAAAGCTCACAAGAACTCTCAGTACGATCAACCCACAGCTTCAGAGTGGATGCTATATGATATTCTACAGCATTGGTTCTCAGATATCCTGCACGTAAGCTATTTACACTAGAATTTACAACAGTAGCAAAAACTGCAGTAGTGAAGCAGCAACAAAATAATGTTATAG